GGAAGGATGAATAGGGGCCACCAGAAGGAAGGAAGTTGGAGGTGAGAGGATAAAGAGGGGGAGTGAAAGATGAGAAAGTGCAAGGGGAAGAGCGAACATGGAGCATCTGCAGAACTGAGAAAGCTATTAGTCCCCCTGGAGTTGGAAGACAAGAAGAAGAAAAGGGAAGTGAAATTGGAGATGTGAACAGCAGCCATATCCCATAGGAACTTATATCACATTTAACGGTTTGGATTCTGTCTTAAACCAAAAAGGAGCCACCAAATGGTGTTAGAGGAGAAAGTATTTGAAATGAATAAAGACTATTATGGCTGCTGTGTGGAGACTGGATAGCTCCAGTGGGGCAAGTGGGTGGAGGCTGTTGGAAAGAGAATAGCTAAAAGATAAAGTACAAAACCTAATTTAAGTAAGGAAGGAAAGAGAGAGAAGTTATAAGATAAGGGATTCAAGGAACTGGAGGTCCTTATCAGGCTGCAGAAGAGATGTAGTGAGTGAGAAAAGAAAAACTAATGAATTGTGGTCCACACACAGGATGTTGAGACAGCAGAGTTGAAGTGGTTCCAGGAGACAGAAGATCTAAAGTAATCCCAAAGGGATGACATGACCTACAATAACACTAGGGGGCTAAAGAGTAAATAGTAACTAATGCACAATGGAGGAAAACATCAAATAGAGGAAGAGTCGATAGGATGTTGGATCAGGAAGGACAAACAGCTGAATGGGGAAGAGAGTACTGGGCATAAACGATGCACATGTCTGTCCTTCCTTCCCTTCCTTTTCTCTCCCTTCCCCTCCAATAGATGAGGCTTGGTGAATTTGACTGCTCTCAGCGATGGTATATGGGGCTATAGTATCCTGGCATCTAGGCACTGAGAACCAGGAAGACAGAGAACCCGGTGGTTGTAACCTATTCTCACAAAACCTGAGGGACCCTCATGCAGACTACCATATAATAGGCTGCAGGCCTGTGAAATGCTGTGGTTTCTGCATGATGTACACACAGAAAAGAGGAGGGGCATAATGTTTCCCCCCAGACTTGTATAAATCACAAAGGTCTTTATCCAATCATTCATTCAAAAATTATTTATTGAGTGCCAACTATGTGCCAGGCATACAGCACTGAGCAGGACAGATGTCGTCCCGCCTACTCAGGAGCTCAGACTTTATCTCCAAGGATTTTAAAACCACCATTTCAACCTGAAGGGTAAAAAATCATGCCTGTGCTAGCCTGAAAAAACACCACCCTGGCAATATAACTGGGGAAATAATAAATAAAGCTAATGTGTGAGGATTTGTGTTAAGAAATAAGCAAATTACTCTACTTCTCACTATTCTTTCCTTGCATTAATATCTTGAAGGAAAAAATGCAAACTGGACAGAGTAAATATACAAAATTGTTGGCATGTAGGGGACAATGTTTCTGCTCTTCCAAAGATGCGAGACTCGTTTCTGAGTCACAAAAACAAATATATTAAGCATAGGAGAAGAGCCGTAGTACTATACATGTAACCCAAATAGGTCACAATTTTAAGTAAATAAGTAATCATTTTCTATGATATAAAACACCCTAATAATTTAGACGTGAGATCATATTTACTTTAAATCCTTCCCCAATAACAAGTAAAAGATGCCTAACCTTAAATATTCATAAAAGAAAGTATTTACTCCTTTGTTTTTATTTTCCAAAAAAAAAAAACACTCTGAAAATTGTTTACTAGTGGAATGATTCAAATTTCTCTTCTCCATTGATAGTGGATTTTATTTTAGTAAATTTATAAACACACAGCTCATTAAAATCTTCAGTCTCAGCAAAGCCTACAGAACATCAAGATAATTTTAATGCCAGATAGATCCCAAAAGAAAGTAAAATGTTTTTTACATATACCAGCACAGCTACAGCACTCTGCTTAAAGCTACAGGGACAGATGTAATGTTCTGTGTGCCTGTTTATCATCCTATTTATCAAACCCAATTTGAACCTATTATTTTACATCAGGCTAACATCATTTTAGCAGACTAAGACTTGGCCTACATATTACTGAATAAAGTATACAGTATCTGTGTTGTCCATAGAAATAATATTGACAAAGAATCTCACATATGTGTGTGCATCTATATATACAATATAAATATATATCATACACCTCAAATATAACACAGGTTTTTTTTTTTTAAATGATAGCAACAATCCAATGACCTGCCCAGTGGCATGGCTAAAATATTAAACCACTAGGTAGTTTTACATGAACTTGAGCTTGATTGTTTCTTGGTTCTGCTTCAGAACCTCATGTTCACGTGCATGCAATTTCTACAGAAGCGGAAACGTGGATGCTGTGGGTCAGTGAGCATTCCTTTCCAGGGTGCTTCTGAGATGAAGCCCCACGATTAACACAGGGCCCTTAATGATGGGCGGGGGACTAAGCATTCCAAGATTGGCCTGGATTCCTGCCAGAAGGGAGAGAAAAGGGTCTTTGTATGTGGACATCTGAAGGGCGGGCATAAACATGTTAGTTGATACTTAACACCCAAATCCAGTGCCAAAACCGTTAGCTCCTCTCAATAGCCTACTCTGGTTTCAACTGTCCACGACAATGGAGCAGCCACCTCAATATACAAAACTTGCTCTTTAAACATCCTCAGAGGAATTCCCAAAATAGCAGCTGTTAGAAGCAAACAGATTCTAATTCATTGACATATGCAGACCTTTTAATGTTTTTCTGGAGACAAGTTTCCATTTTTTTTTCTTTGTACCTACTCCGTCCATGCATTTTTAATAATTACCTTGTAGATTACATGATGCAATCCCTCCAGGCACTTGAAGAAGGAGCCCCGGGATTCATAGTCAGATGAAATTGTTAGTTTTTACGGCAAGAGGCCCAGCTAATTTAAGTGGTGAATTTTTCATACGTTTTTCCCCTCGTCTCCCTTCCCTGCTGTCCTGGCCCTCTTTCTTCTTCAGTACATTAAGAGATTCTGATGTGCCTGCAGCAACATCCGCTGACGGTGGCTGACTGTAGAGATGCCAGCCAGCCTTCCCTGCCGAGGAGCACGGCCATGCGCGCCGCCTCAGCAGAGCTCACTCCCTCGGAATCCCCTCTGGGATCCCCCTTCCACCAGGGCTGGATCTAATCTCACACCTTCAATAACTTTTGTGGGCTCAGTTTAGTTCCTGGCAGACAGTTATCTGTGTTACATAAATTCAACACGAAAAGTAAGCAACCTCCTATCTCTAGAGAACCATGGGCCAGGCAGGTTACTGCGGAGGCAGCTCCAGAAACTTCAGCTTATAAGTGGCCATGTGTAGCCGGATAAGAGAATAAAATGGCATGCTTACAGTTCAAAGGGCTTTGATTCCCTTCTCCCTGTATTCATTCATGCAAACTAGTAATTCTACATTAAGAGGTCATTGGGTGATTTATATATATATGTGTATATATATATATATATATATACACACATACATATATAACAGATTTATATATATATATATATGAAGACAATCTCATAGATAGCAGATGGTTAATACATTTTTTAACGACCCAGGATGTAACCCTGAAATGTCATTTTTCAACAAGCAGCTTGAATGTGGCCAGTACAGGACACTGGCATAAACGTGGATGCTTATTTAGGAAGTAGGCATTCCTGCAAGTATCAGCAGCTCTAAATAGATATTTCCTAATGAGGAAATCATCTAATGGGTACTGCTATAAAAAACTATTAAATGTGAAATTATTTAATACATTTATAAAACTAAGTCTCTCTAAGAATACATATAATAGTTTTAAAATATCAATATGATGACATAAAACTTGGATATTACTAAGATGTAAAAATGTATTACTCTCAACTACCTTTTATCTCAACTACCTTTTAATCATCAAACACTATAATATATTTTATAGAATGATAATGTTTAGAAGTTTTATTTAATAAATTCCTTTACTTATTTGGAGTAGAATAACAGAGATACAGTGAGGAATGACACACTTTTGGTATAACTAGGAATCCTGGTAAAGGTGAAAGTAGACATTACAAACTTAACAAGCCTTTTGTGTGACCTAATTGCATTAGAATATATTAGTAAGGTTGCATGGTGTAGGTTTTATGTTTCATTAGAAAGGTCATCACTGATTTGGGTTGAATCATTAAAGAAAGGAGACCACATTAGCAGAGTGCTCTTCAAGGAGCTGAAGGATGAATATACTTTGCTTCATTAGAATTATCTCATTGTAACTCAATATTCTAATTTTACAGCAGGAAGAGACAATAAGGAAGCTCTGAAGCCCCAGATTTCAATATTCCTCTTATTGTAAATGGACGGGTAATTGTACCATGACATTGTTTCTTTAAGACACATACAGTAGAGGCAACCAACCTATTTGTTCTTCTGATTATAATAAAAGGTATCAACCACATGACATGCTAAATTGTGGAATACCTTACCCTCCAAATTGTACTGTTCTTTAACATTTGAACTACTGTTTTAAGAACTCTTATGCTATTTTAAAACAGCGCAATTTTATATCCCAGAGATATTGAATCAAATACATTACAAAGTTTCTATGTATAATTCTTAGATGTTTTTATGGTTTTAATAAAAACATAAACCTCAATGATCCTCAATTGGTGTTACTTATAATTACCCCAGGAGGAAATTTTAGTTGCTGTGTTTCTATCACTAATGGCAAAGAGACACAAACATACATAGTAATGAATCCCAGTAAGAATTTTGTTACAATCCTTAATTTCTATAAAAAGAATAATTAACTATCCTGTCATTTAATCTCCAGATTACCTGGGCAGACCCTTGTGTTTGGCACTTTTCATTTGCAAAGAACAAAAATATGTAGATTATTTTATATAATGAGCTTTACTGTAAGTCTAGCCAAGAGAGTAAGGAAGTATGAAAGACTATGAAGAAGCTAAACATTACTTATGACGCTGTTGCTATGCCAAGCACTCCACAGCAGTTCCAGGGCTCCATCATCAGTGTGCCGCAGTTTCCTTCTCATTCTCGCTCTTCTCCACTGCTTCTGCTTATCTTCTTTCAGGGCATCTCCTCACTTCAAGGCCACTCTTTTGCCCCCCCCATATCTTTTTGCATATTTTCAAGTCGACGACCCTAAAAGCAAAGATGCCATTTGAGTAATTAGTTCTTATCCAAGTTGGAGGAACAACAAAGGTAGGAGTTCTTACTGTGCCATCTCAAATGCTGACCTAGAATGTGCTCTTTGACTCAGTTACTGGTCTCAGGCCTAGATCTGGCTGTGGCCATAACAGCAAGGCCACATGACAAAGCAGAAAATTTTTATGCAAGGAACTTATTGCTCATAAAGGGACTATGGATATGAGGGGAGCGCCGAAAGTGCCATGAGTACTTATAACCTCAATATACAGCACAGAAAACCTCACCAGAGAATACAGACTCACAGCGTCCACCATCCAGAAGGAAAGAGTCTAAAGTCTAAAGGACTTGCAAACTTTCCATTCCTGTAGAGGGACCAACGTGGATATCAAAAACTCTCATTAATGCGCTACTGTCTTCACCATTTATGGAATTTCTTATATTGAACTATTTTTTTTTTTTGTAGTCTGCCTTGCCCTTAGCTGTCATATTAATTGGAGGGTAAGGGGGGCTTGTTTTTGAAAATCCTTTATTTCATTGGCTGTAGGAATACTATTGAGGGTACCATTCAAGACTTTCTTACATGTAGTGACATGACAGAAATTTCCTTTTATGGTTATGTGCCTCAGAGAAAATGTTTGTTTTCTCATCTTGAACAATTACCCAGTTCTTCCTTTTCATGTAGACCATTAGGAAATAAACCTTAATACAGAGCACAGTTATTTCAACTGTGTCCTATTGTTTCTGACCTTGACTCTTGTTCTAATTCCTATTTTCCTTAATCCTTTTTTAATATTTTAATATTTTATATTTTATCATTCTTTTTTTAAATTAATTTAAATCACTTGAGAAAATACAGTATAACAAATAATAATTTTTAAAGACATATATGACAAATATAGCCTAAGATACAAAAAAAGAACATGATATTTGATCCTATCATACTAAATTTCTGAGACAATCACAAAAGTCACCTGATGTCTGTCTGTTACATCGAGCTAAGAATTCAGTTCAAAGCCACTGCAGAAGAAAACCTGACCATAAAAGACTATCATGAGTATCAGTATCATGAGTATCAGAAGCAATTCTATATGTGAAAAATATCACAAGTAGTCAACCTCTATATACATTCAAAGACCAATTTAAATTATCATAATTATTACCTAATCCTATAAAGTTTAAAGTCAACAACATTTCCAAAAATAATTTTGCCAAGGAAAATATTATATAAAAATAAAAAACCAAATTAAAACTGACCACGGTGTTGATGTAAATAGGAAGACATAAATTGCCCAATACTTTGCTAATACTAGAGAAGGGGGTAATCAACATGATTAGGGCGGCCTTCTTGTTAAAAAACAAACAAACAAATAAAAAAACTAAAAGTACTTCAAAATCCTATTTCTAGTGTTATTACTATAGCTCAATAAGATAGAGTGAATAAATAATTCCTGTTAGGCCAGGCGCAGTGGCTCACGCCTGTGCTAATCCTAGCACTCTGGGAGGCAGAGGTGGGCGGATTGCTCGAGGTCAGGAGTTTGAAACCAGCCTGAGCAAGAGTGAGACCCCATCTCTACTATAAATAGAAAGAAATTAATTGGCCAACTAATATATATAGAAAAAATTAGCCGGGCATGGTGGTGCACGCCTGTAGTCCCAGCTACTTGGGAGGCTGAGGCAGGAGGATTGCTAGAGCCCAGGAGTTTGAGGTTGCTGTGAGCTAGGCTGACGCCACGGCACTCACTCTAGCCTGGGCAACAAAAGCAAGACTCTGTCTCAAAAAAAAAAAAAATTCCTGTAGAAGGAGAATATATAGCAACAAAAAAAAAAATGCTTATTACAGACTTTACTTCTCCAGGGGTCTTAAATTATAGTTTGCTCACTAGTACTTAATGTTCTCCTATTTAACCCTAAACCACCATCAATCTCTACCAAGAGGGCCTTATGTAACCAGGTAGTCAATACCCCAAAACAATCCAGTCTCAAGAAAAAAATGAAAGATCCCAGTCAATTGTGCAGGTCTAACAGCAAAATCTTTCTTAGATTGAGCTCAGCTCATTTTTGTCTTACCTTTCCAAACATAGTTCCTTCATATGTTACACACACAATCACATCCTGTATCTTCCACCAGACAAACTAAGATAAGTTGCTATATCTGCTGATCCAGGTGACATGCTGCCTCACAAAATCAAACAAAAATGATAAAATTAAAAAGAGATTTTCATTCAAGGCAGAAGAATTTTCAAAGTTACAAAAGAGACTATTAAGTTTCATATATCTCTCTAATGAAGATGAAAATCATGTTAAACACCAAATACACGTGTCTAATTACATCAGGAAATACTGTTCTGTATTTGCTAATGAAATGTGATGCCACTGTATTCACTGAGAGCCAAAACAAAGTGAAGATATAACATTCTAATTATAAAAAGGCACTTGGTAAAATGGTTGTATGCTTTGAACTGTAATAAAAATTAATAAAATTATGTAAATACAAACAGTTACTGAAAATGTGGCACCCTAATTTTAGAAAAGCCACCGAGCATAATGACTTAAGAAACTTCAAACCATTTTTAACCTTATTCTCTTCACAGAGAGAAGACTAATGAGAAAATGTTTGTCTAAAAGGCTAATATTTGGTTTAATATATTTACTTCATTGCTCTAAATATGAAAGCCACCCCATATCCTTTTGGCAGTAAGGGTAAAATCTTAAATAAATGAATATGTAAGCACAAATTTTCCATCCACGAGCATTTCATGATCTTCCAGCTAAGTCACCATTGATGCATTCACAAATGTCTTAATGGCCTTACTAAGTGGAATCCTGTTATAATGCAGAGCCAGAGGACACACAGAACCCCATATTGTATGCTTTCCAAGTGATAAGAAAGAAGATGCACCACACATCACTATGTACACAGAGAACATGATTTGACCTCCATGATCAAATCCATGCTATAACCAGGTGCCTTGTAATAGGTTATTATCATAGTGGGTGCTTACTGATTCTCCACAGTGGGCTTTGTTCTGTACTAATTTTTCATCCTGAAATCTCTTCATAGCGTTCATGTTGACTCAAGAAATGCAGTGTCTTTAAAATTAACCTTAGGAATATATGTTCTATTAAATTTTCTTATAATTTAAACATGAAACTCATTATTAAAATTCATGTAGCCTACCTTTACATTTTAATTCCTTAAAATTAATATTTTCATTGGCTATAACAGAGATCAGTGAAACGATAAGCTTTCTAACTTTCATCACTTAACAATATCTTAGTCAAGAAGTGAATATGGCTCTAAACCAAATAAGCAATTTAAAAATTCTTCAAATGTTGTGTCTCTGAACTGTCTGAATAAATACCATATTCTTTACTGACAGTCTTCAATGATAAATGTGCTTATTTGCAATACACTTACTCAAGGAGTTATAAAGGGACCAGAGATAATTTAAAAGGTCCCTACTTGCTTTAGTATGCAGGGAAAAAAATACTACTTCAAGTCTGAAAATATATAATGGAGAGTATATCTTCCATTTGGTTCTGATTACTTTTTGTAATCTACCGGGAGTTAATATAAGAGCACATATCTTCTGTACTTCTATGGAGAAAGTCTCCCCTAAGGTAGGTAAAAGAATTATGCCAGCTACAGAGGATGTGAATTTACTCTGGTAAAATTGCTACAAATACACAATCAAAATTATAGGTATAATTTGGAGGATGAAAATTAGAAATATTTTTATTTTTAGTCACTTTTAGGGTGTGATTATGTCAACAATGAAGGACTTACTTAATCCATAAAAATATATCATTTATTTTGCTTTTAACATGGATCTTTAAAAAAAAATCACTTCAATATATCTAATATACTATAACAAAATGGGAGTAGTATTTAAAACACCCAGATTAAACATCTAAATGATAAATATCGCATGGTACTGCACATCTGTTCTTTGTAATGTTTTCTAGTAATGCAGCATAGTGCATTTCAGCAAACCAATTCAAACACGAGGATTGCTACAGAGCAAAAGCTCTTGTCACTGTTTGTGATTGTCTAATGGTATATGGTCCAATCATAAAGGGCAGCTGACAGGCTGGTAAAAGAAATGAATTTTCTTCTTCCTCCTGACACATCAGGGTAAGGCCCCCTGCTGTAATGCAGAAAATCTTTTATGCAAAAAGAATACACCATCTTTCAACACATGATTACTATTCAGAAGATTCTGACTAGGTTTTTTGGTGCATTTTTTAAAATATTCATACGGAATTGCACAAAGAGCAAACTAGATCTGGGCTTATGTCTTATCTTCCCCATCTAGTCATGCTATGACCTCGGGCCAAGTCCCTTTTTTCCCAATGCCTTCATTTCCCCATCTTTGAAATGGGGATGATAATAATAATAAAATATGGTTCTCATCCTAGAATAAAATGAGAATTGATGAATATTTATTTATAAATAATTTCAGTCTATGTAGAAAAATGACACTAGTGAAGGGGAAACAATGTTATCTTTTCAAACACTTAAAAAAATAACACCCATACTAAAAGCCCTAAACAAAAGTAAATTAAATGTGTGCATAAAATATAGCATTTCAAATTTTAAATATTTTAGATACATTGCCTAAAATGTGAACATTTTCATTCCCCTTGGCACAGAGAGATCAAACAGAAAGGTTACAGGGTAAGTCCAAGGAAGAACACTGTGCCTATCAATGAAAACTATCATTTATTGTCTGTGGACTATGTGTTAAGTGCTGTGGTAAATACTATACATTTATATTCTCACTTAATCCTCACAACTTCTCTACGAAGTAAGCAATACTATTAATTTCATTTTATAAATGAAAAAACTGAAGCTTAGAGAATATTAAAAATTGCTCACTAGTTAAAATATTCATGGGTGGAAGGATGTTTTGAACTTTTTAGGAACCCTGATAGTCAAGCCAGAGTCTACCCCAGCTTGCAATTTTTTTTTAATTCAACTTTATTTTATTTGACAATGTTTGCAAACAGCCCCAGGACAATAACAACTACACCCTGAGAAAGGGAATTACACTCCCCTTTCATCCCAAGTTCAATTGCATTTTCCTGGGGATCCCCAGCTTCCCAGGGCTCTGGAGCAAGGGCTCCTCCCATGATGGTGTGAGCAGACTGGGACACCGGTGGGGTGGGGGAGGGGGGGCTGAAAGAACTAACTAGGCTTTCAATGACCTCCTTTTGCAGGCTCAAGCTTGGAATCCCTGGGCTCAGGTCTCTAATCAACCAGTCAAGGTCATCTACTTAAGTTTTGTTTTTTTTTTTTTTTTTTTTTTTTTATTTTTGGTAGAGACGGGGTCTCGCTCAGGCTGGTTTCGAACTCCTGTCCTTGAGCAATCCGCCCGCCTCAGCCTCCCAAAGTGCTAGGATTACAGGCGTGAGCCACCACGCCCGGCATCTACTTAGTTTTAAATTAGAAAATACTCAGTGTCTGAGGAATCCAGAAAAAAGCACTGAAACTCAGCATTTATGTTTATAGGAGGAAAGGAAATTGTAAAGCACTTACATTTCATACCTAAACAGGAAAAGCAAAAGTACATATCCACTCCAGACAATACACATTTCATTGAATCATTATTTCCATGATAAAAAATCATTTTGTAAACAATCCTATGTGAACACTTCTAGGAGTTGCCAAGTCCCGTGCCATAAAATGTATCATTAAACTCTGACATCCAGATAACAGGATACAGAACAGAGTTATCCACTGTCAGAAATTCTCTACCCTGCAAAAAAGAGGAACTGATGTTTTGGGTGAATCTTTGTAAATCACCAATTTATCTACCACACTTTGTTATGGAAATGTATTCATTTCTCTGCACCAGCTTGCACTCTTACCTACTATGCTATGTGGTATTTATTCATTTGACGAGATCGCCAATATTTATGGGAAATATGGGAGGATGAAAACAACAAGGGGACTGGTAAGCTGGAGAGGAGGTAAGAGACTGGTACTCACCCAGGACTAACGACCTCGGTCCTCTCAATAAATCACAATAAGAGAGTGACTCCAACCTGGGAGAGACATTTAGGTTAGTTGAGGAGCAGGTAGGGAGGGGCTGTCAGAGCAGGCGGCAGGAGTTGTGGGCCTCAACTAAATTGGTATGAGAATCAAGGAAGAATGAGGAAAAGGATCAGGCAGGTGGGCCTCCCCTGGGAGAGCCAAGTCCGATTATGCCATTAACAGAGGCGAGGCAGAGGTTGGGAGGCAGGCTGGAGGCGTGCTAGTCACCTGGGAAAGGGACCTCTGAAGGGAAGAGGTACTAATGAATGTGATTTATGTGAGTTCATGTTCATAAGGCTGTATAAATGCAAGTTGTTATTGCTTGAGGAGTCTTAAATTCACCAGAAAGAAAGTGTTACATAAGAGAGAGATAGGAATAAGATATTCTGTGCAAATTAACTGGGGCTGCTATTCTGTGGCTAAGAGCATCCTACCTCTGGCTGAGTATCCCATTACCTGGTCCCAGATAGTCAGAAAATGGATTAGTGGTACTTTCAGAAGTGGGAGACAGAAATCTTTAAAGCACACTCTGACAGAGACAGAGGAGCTGTGGGAATTTTAAGAAAAAAAAAACAAGGAGTTTCCTGTCCTGGGGAAGGAGTGGGGAAACTGGAAGAACACTGGAGGGGGAGCCCCAGGAGAAGTGAGGAGGTCTGGATGGAGGCAGCATCTGCAGATTTCCACAGCAGAGGTTTAAATGCAAGTGTGAGGACACCTAAGGTGACTAAAATGTCAAGTTTTATCCTCATACACCAGTGTTTCTTGAATTGAGGTCCATGGCATATTCTGAAGAGTCTAAGAGTTTTTAAGTTCAAGAAACACTGTCGATCCCTAAAATACTTTCCGAGATTACCTAATTCTTTAAAAAAAAAATGTGTGTACTCAGGAGCCCTTTTATGAAAAAGAATAAAAAGCCATGACCAAGAAGTATACACAAAAGTGAATATGCAAGGGGCGTCGAAGGTCAAGCCCAGCCTTTCGTCAGATGGAAACAAAAATTCAGAACAGACAGTGAGTGTCTGGCCTGATCCACTCCACCTCGTGGAGGGTCAGTATGAGAAATGGCTGAATGGTTGGAAGGCTTTGGCACCTTTGGTGAATAGCAATAAAGAGAACTCTGGTTATCAGTGTGGAAAGAGTACCATAATGCAGAAGGCCTGGAGAAACCCTGGCATTAGTAAAAAACCAGAAATTTGGCCAATTGTCCCAAGGGACTTGGGGAAAAAATCAAAGGAGCCTGCCAGGAGTTATAGTTATAAAAAATAATCTGCCTAAAAAGTCAGTGATGATATTCCAGTTTAACTTTGCTACTTTCTTAATTAGTGCTTTCTTGTAGGCATATCTCTCACTATCAATGATATATATATATATAATATAAATAAATGTATTTATTATATATCTTTAAATGAGTGATCACAACATACTAATAACCACCAGTAGATTGTTAGCTATTTATGGGCACAGCACTTTCTTATAAATAAATACTTTATTGATTTATTACACCTGACACTGTATATTATTCTAAATTCAGAGAAATCAGGTAGAGATTATATGGAAACCCTGAGACAAGTCAATGAAACACCAATATATTAGGCCTTTAAATCTGATTTGGCCCTTAGAGCTAAAGTGAAGTGAATGATTCCAAGAAGAATGACTTAAATAGATTAGGTAAATCCACCACATTGAAAACTGTTAGCATTCTGACTCACTTCCAAGTAACTTCACTAAAACTAGGATGATATCCCTTAGGAAGAACCCATTATTCAGTTAATTTAATGACTAGTCTGTTGTTTGAGGTGATTTTTAAAATATTCAGGGGGAAATTGTTTTGAATCTTTTAAGAAGTCTCTTAAAAGCTATTGCAGAGGTTTGGGAAGACTAATGTTATAAAATGCAACTTAAACCCAAAGTAAAGAGATTATACTATAAAAGGAACTAGGGACAAATCCAGGTTTCATGGAACCCTAATGATATACAAGTCGGGGCCCTCTTTTAAATTTTTTAAAATTATGAAAAAAAATCATATACCAAAGTGAATATTTTCAAATGAAGCTAGTAGAGGCCCAGGCAAATAAGCGGTCTTGAAGGTTAAGCGTCATTAGCTTCATAGTAAATCCACCTCCTGGAAGCTAGAAATTATGATCTTCCCTCATCTTCTGAGTCACACAACACAGGGCCTGAGATCCTTTCACTGGAATAAATTAAAGGTTATCTTTCCTCATAATTAGGGCAGTAATAAAGAGAGGTTAGTTAGCATTAAAATTAATATATTAAAATGATTCCTATAAGCTGCCAAGAACCAGGAATACAGTAATCAGGCAGGAGTTAGAGATAAATCATGGGCAATTCTATAGTTTAAAAAAATTTTTTAATGAACACCATTTGTTAGAAAATAATGTGGCACTACCTTGTAGAATTAAACATTCAATTGTTCTGTCCCTAGGCATGTGCGTGTGCGTATGTATGTGTGTGTATTATATAATTCTGCTGCTAGGTGTGTGTGTATATATATGTATATGCATATGTATATTATATATGTGTGTTAGAACAACTTTGCCCATGTCCACCAAACGACACCTACCAGAATGTTCAGAGTAGTGTTGTCTATAGTAGAAAATAATAATAATACTAGAAATGGCCCTAGATATCCACTACCAGAGTAGAAACAATTGTGGCTTATTTACTCAGTGGAACATTAGACAGCATTGAAAACGCACAACAGTACGGATCCCTCTTAGAAACCACAATATTGAAGAAAAATGGAAAGTCACAGAAGACTACATAAAGTATAATGCCATTTTAATAAACTTCAAGAACAAGAAATACAAAACAATATATTCTTTAGAAACACACACATATGTGGCAGAAACCAATTTTTTAAGCAAGGGAAAGATTAACACAAAATTCAGGTGGGCAGTAATCTCTCAGAAAATTGCAAAGGTATGGAATCAACCTACGTGCCCATCAAGTGATGAATGGATAAAGAAAATGTGATACACACACCATGGAATACTACTCAGTCATAAAAAAAAGAAAGAATGTTTTTGCAGCAGCCTGAATGGGACTGGACACCATTATCCTAAGTGAAGTATCTCAGGAACAGAAAAACAAATACCATGTGTTCTCACTTAGTGAGAGCTAAACAATGGGTATGCATGGCCATACAGGGTGGTATAATGGACACTGGAAGCTTAGAATAGGGGAGGGTCAGAGGAGGGAAAGAGATGAAAAATTGACTATTGGGTACAATGTACACTATTTAGATAATGGGTACATTAAAAGCTCTGGCTTCTCCACTATACAATTCATCTATGTAACAAAAATAACCAATTTGTACCCCCTAAATCTATTGAAATACTTTTTTTAAGTGGAGGATGGTAAGAAATATACAGGTAGATGCAAGGACATTGACAGCATTCTATACTGAAGTAAGATGATAGATTCGAAACTGTGTTTCATTCGTGAGCTCGATATCTTAGTTCTATTATGTTCTAAAACAGTATATGTAACTATTTTAACCAATAAAAGTAAAGTTTAAATACAGAGTATTTTAATTATGTCTCATCATATTTTTAGTCCTGTATCCTACTTTGTCTACCAAACCTTGTTTTGGAAAAAATTAAAATAAGAACCAAAGTTCTGTTCAAATTATGATGCTATGGCTTTTAGTTGATTTGACCAATCAAGCAATTAGGATGTTGTTCATGCAATATATGCCATATAATCAGCATCCTTCAATTATTCAAGTTTTTTTTTGATAATCACCTGTAGCAAACGTTCTCCACAGAACCACCAAAGTAATTCTCCTAATGCAAAAGACATGTCAACAGGCCTTGGCTTAAACCTGTGCCAGGGTTCTTAATTGCATAGAACAGATTCCCTTCCTGAACACGGCACATAGGCTTGTCTTTACAAGGTCCTTTCTACCTCTTCAGTGCTTTTTCTGAAGTTCAGCTTGACCCAGAGCTTCTTATAGGTGAGGTTCTCCCTGGCTATCTCTAATGAGATATATTTTTTTTCCTTTTTTTCTGTAAACAAAAAAAGAGTGTGTGTGTGTGTGTGTGTGTGTGTGTGTGTGTGTGCTCCAGTCACCATGGCCTTCTGTTGGCTTCAAGGACTAGCTCAATGTTCACTAATCTTCCCTAGGTACTTCAAATAGTTTGTTTCTTTTCATTCTTCAGGTATTAACTTAAATAGACCTTCCCAGACTAACCAGACTAAACTAGGTTGCCCTTGTTCATTCTCCATCAGAGCACCCCATTTATTGCATTTTTTAATCACTTCACTTTCTGTATGTGTGTGATTCTTGCCTGTCTCAGCTACAGACATGTAAGTTCCATGATGGCAGGAACCTTGTCTACCGTCTTCAGCATGCAGCACACAACGCAAGACATGGTAACTTCCTAATAAATATTGGCTGAATGTGTGAATTCTTAGCTGTGTCCCCTTTTCTTTCCCTTTCCAAACCCTAATCCAGAGGCTTTCTGAGTTATTTGGAAAACCCCACTAACATCTTTTGTTTAAAGGCTTTTGTTTAAAGCCTCCGAGTTAGCTTTGCTTTCTGGGTAACGAACACCTGAATGGATGTTTATTGCTATTGTTTGTTGTCTTCCAAGGCTCACTTCCAGCATCATCCCTCTTGTGAGATAAGAATTCCCGATTCACCCAGCGTGTGACCTGACAGTCTCCTCAAAGGTCCTGATAGTAGCCACCATATATGTCAATCAGCTGACCTACCTATTACCACCTTATTTCAATTTCAACTTTCGCTTAAATGTTATGCCAGTTATTTTGACTGTTTTTCTCTAGCCCTCTAAACTCTTCTCTGTGATGACAGAGCTGGGACTCAGCCAATTACACTTCCCATATTCCTTTGTCACTGCCTCCAGGCTAGATTCTGTGAGGACCAGGAGACAGGAAGGCAGGAAGAGGAGGGAGACACCGCTTGATTCTACCTGCCTGCTTGCTGTTCCTTCCCAGAGCAGAAGCTGATTCCAGCTTCTCTTGGTGATCACAGAAACAGTCCCTTTATGGCCCTCATAGGCATGAACAGTAGTTCTACAGGGCCCTTCTTTGAGTCTCTGGGGTCTGGCAACCCTAATCCCTTCCTTTTTGTTCCCCCACCTTAGAGGTGGTAGCTGTTTTTTGTGGTCATGTTTTTTTCTGAGATACCCTATTCTCTCCGTGCTTTTCCAGCCCTCTAATACCTGTGCCACCAGTTCCCTGTACTAGATTCTCTTCCAGATACTCAGAGGATCCTCCTGGGACTCTCCATCAAAAAAGAAAAGAAAAGAAAAAGAGGAAGAAAATACCCAGTGTAATATCTGATTTCCTATTGGACTTTGACTGATACATACATCTGTTTTCTCCTAATAATAGAAGGGTGCTCCTAGAGGAGAAAGCAGGTTTATGATTCATTCTGTGTCTTCAGAATGAATCTTCCTGGGGACAGAACCTGGTCCAAAGTAAATACTTTATAAGTGTCGAGTAAGTGAGTTAATTATTGATTCAAGTAGTAGAGTATAAGGAACTCAACCAAAGCAATGGCAATGAAGATGGGAGGGAAATATTCACTATAAAGTTAATGAGAAGCCAATATTCATTTCAATCCAAAGAATAGAGGGGGAGATTGGGAATACCCTTATTTTAATTCAAAGGAATGCTATTTTCCCCTTACTATTTTTAAATAACATAGCAGTGAAAAATCTCTGTGTCACAAAATGCTCATTCTCCAAACTTCAACAATAACCAACTAAATCATATAATGCAACCAAATGTCAGTAACACTGAAAGGAATCTGACCAGCATCCTGGAGTTTGTTAGAATAAAATTTGAACTACAATACTGAAAAGAAAAGAAAACAATTTCTAGGGACAGGAACCAAGAGGAAATTGGTAAATGTTTTAACTTTTACTGTGGTCGAAGGAAACACATACAAAAAATACAGACAAACTATTAAAGTGTTCAAAATCATTTTCACAATTCATTAAAGTACTTATCCATGGTTGATTATCAGGAGTTATTTAGGAAGGCTTGGTATACATTCCTCATCTTTTAGTTACCAGTAGTAGCCAAAGGGATCGCCATGAAATTTCATCAACAGACCCCACAGCTTATTGCTCTGTGTCTTGGGCCACAGACTGAATCTATTTTCTATTTGTGTAATGCTGGAAGTGACTCTGCACATTCCACACCCCTTTCCTCATCACCCCTATTCCTGTCCCTGTCCATTCTCTGTATTGAACTAATATGGCAGGTAAAAATTAAATACATCTCTTCTGGATAAAGTGTCATGAGGTCTAAGAAAACCACAGGGAATGAAAGGCAACATAATAATATATCTTTACAAGTTTGTAAAACATCTAGTATATTTCCTGTCACATAGCAGATGGTCAATAAATGGTAGTTGATGTGGTGGTTCCTGCTGCTGTGGCAGCTGGTGCCACAGCCTGGGTCATTTACAAGTAGCAATATTATAATGAAAGACTGTGAAAGAAATAAAACATATGCCCCTGCCCTCAGTGAGCTCGAAGGAAGATGAAACCACCACGTCAAACAGGGAGATGCAATTGCAACAAATAGCAGAAAATGCAAATATAACTCTTGGCCACTTCAAATATAGCATCTTTTGCAGATTACAAGCCAAATATATAGCAAATTCAAGCTATGGATGTCAACCACAGGTAAGGAAGGTATTAAAGAACTATTTCTTTCTTTTAAACAAAATTCAAACCTCGAGAGGATTTACCTTGAAAGGGAATGGTTACCTCCTACCAAGATTGACTTTCTTCTCAGCTTCACTTGTCCTGTGATCTTGTTCTATAACTGTCCTGAGTGGAGAGTACAGTAGTGGGGATAGGAGACTTTTGTGCACTCACGTGTGCGTGTGTGTGTGTCTGTGTGTGTGTGTGTGTGTCCAGTAGCACCGCAGTCAGGTATATCAACGCTTTGGTTCCCTATTTTCTTGTTCCATATCTCTCTCCATGTGAATGGTGCCATTTTTAAACTCACCACATCGGAACTACCACTTACATGCTTTGAAACCTGCTAAAGCCTAAGATGATTCTCAAGAACCCAAAAACCCAGAGAAACTTTCCATCCTAAGAAATACATATCCTTCCCCCTTGATTGACAATTGACAATAACTAAGCAGATAAAAATCTACTTCCTCAGG